GTTACCCTTCAGCAGCACAGCTCCCAAGATGTTGAACTTGTTCCTCAGGTTTGAGGAGGACTTGATATTTTCAGAGCAACTCTGAGTATTAATCAACATCTCTATGAAGCAAGTCAGCATTTTCATCTCTGGATAAACAGGACACAGGGAAAGAAAATAATAATTTGTGTTAGGTCATGAACTAGCATGGAATTGACTTCCTGTCTCATAGGTCAAGCTACAACAAACAAAATATCAAAACACTAATTTGTAAATGGTTATGTATTAGTGAGTCATGGCACATCCTGTGCCGCAGGAAGCTGAGCTTTGCAGCGCGTTCCCGCAGCCCGACCTTCCTTCCCCTGCCTCCTTATTCTGCCAGTTTCTACTCCTGCTTTAGTATTTACTTACCTCATATGTAGAATCCCTCTAAGAAAACTTGTCTCGCCCTCCTGCCACGTTTATAGTCTCCAGTTCATTGTTCATACAGCATTTTTTGTATCTTATTTATTTTTTGCTTTTTAAAGAGAATAAAAAATAGGAATGATACAGATTTCACTCTACAAAATAATCAGAATTCAACAATGGTTGTTACTTTGTCATATAGCATTCTGGATCCCACAACATACCTCTATTATGGCACCAATTAGAAGCCATTATGGGGCCGGGGAGATGGCTCAATGGAATAAGCGCTTCCCTGGCAAGCGCAAGGGCCTGAGTTCAATCCCCAGTTCTGCAAAAAAAAAGAAAAAAAGAAAAAAAAAATTAGAATCCATTGTGACAGGTGACTGAGGAAAAGGACCATCCTGCTCTTCCTTTTCTCTCTAGTGTAATGCCTAGTGTATGATATTTACTCAAAATTATTTTTGTTTTTGTTTTCTTTGTGTGGCACCAGAATTAAATGTTTTTCAATGAAGAATGCATTTAACTGTATGATCAGTCAGATTGGAAAGAATGTATGCTTAGTAAGAAACAAAGAGTAAGTTGAAATTCACTTAATATAAATGTCAGGTCAGAAGGAAATAATTCAAGGCCATAGGCTGACAAGATTCCACTATCTTCTGTAGGGACTTAAAGTTCAACATATCAGTATTTGATGAAAAATACCTGTTCCTTATTACGCCTAAGATGTTTGATATTCAGACAGATAGTGAGGTTAAGCTTAACAGCCTAGGTTGTATGGTAATAACAATAAGCTTGTCTTCTGGAGGGTGGGCAACCTAAGTTTGTAGACCAAAATTAGAGAAAAAGGAGAGCCGCAAGGAAAGCCAACATTTTGGCCCTAGCCTTCCAAGGTCAATTAAGACTCATGACATATGAGAACTTGTACTGTAATGTCATGTAACTTGGTAATATCCCAAATTTTCTGATCAAGCAGATTATGGGGCCAAAGAGGAAAGTGATCAATTATGTAGAGTGTGCCTAAGGAAAGTCACATGGAGAGAACATATTCTCCCAGGTTTTTACAGAGAGCACACTGGCCAAGCAATGGCCGTGACTCATCCACATGGCTGACACTGACAAAGGTTCTACAATCTGAGGTACAGGATCTCAGGATAAATCCTGAGGGGATTTCACTGACCTTCTCAGACCCCAAAGGTACAACTCTTATTGTATAGGTCCTGCTTTACCTTGGTCTTAACCATCCAACAGAAAAGTATAAAAACGAAGTATAAGAAGTAAAGCCATGCTGTTATGTTGAACTGTAGGGGACTCAGGTCAACAATTTCTGACATTGCCAGTGAAGAGGAAGACCCAATACTATTACGGACTACTGGACTCTTTTAGAATATTTTGCTGAGTTAACACACCTATAATATTCATATAATGGAACTAAACAAAAAAGGGGATACAGACGAATGTCCATTTTGTATCTGTGTATTCAAAATGGTTAGGATAGATACATAGTTACATTCTTTTAATGAATAGAGGGATTTGTTCTAATAGGGTTTGTAAATAGGATATCACGTCCGCATCTTATACAGCAATTAACCACTAGGAAGAATGTATGCAATGTGTTAATTATTGAATCTGTCCTACCAATTTGGTTTGAAACTGTCTTATTGCTATTTGTTTCTCAATAAAATTATGGAAAAAAAAAAGATTCCACCATCTTGCAGTGATGTAGTGTCTCAAGCACAGAGATTTCTAGGTTTGCCATGACAGGAGGAAAAATCTTCACTGAATGAGTGCAGATTTACTGCCCCAGGGAGTGGAATTGAACCCTGGCTGCTGTGCTCTGCCTATGTAGATGCTTTAGTCTGCTGAGTCCTAAGGAAGTTAGTTTTCTGTCACTGCAACAAATGTCTCACAGTTTTGGAGGTTACAGTCCATGATTGGTTAGTCTTGTTACTTTTGAGCCTGTAGCAAGGCAGTATATCATGGCGGGATTACAGCCGAGGGAGTCTGTTCAGTTTATGGCTGCATATGAGAGGAAAAGATCAAGTCTTCCAAATCCTCTGCAAGATCACACCCCCAGTCATTTAAAACTTCTCAATAGGTCCCACCTCTGAAGGGGTCTACCATCTCCCAGTAGTACCAAGCTGTGGACCAAGCTCCTCTGTGGATAATGGGGGACATTCCAAATCCAAACTGTACAGGCAGTGACAGAAGCAAAGCAGAGAAATAACATCAAGCAAGAGTGTAATTTTTGGCAAGAGTGTAATTCAGCTGCCCCTGGGGTGTGCTGAGACAGCGATGGAGACTGGGTGTGGTGGAGCACACCTGTAATCCCAGCACTTGGGAGACTGAAAATAGGAGAATCACTATGAGTTGATTTACGTAGTGACACCCTTTAGATCCTGTACCAAAAATACAAAAGCAAACAAAAAAAAAAAAGCTAACTTCCTTACCAGTTTTGCTTGAGACTATTTTCTTAAATACATCACTTGCATACACACTTGTCTTACAGCTTATACATGAGAAACTGTACTTAAGAGAGCACCACCTAAATAAAAGTGTAAATGCAGCAAGTTTTGGAAAGAGAGGACACAGGCAAGCACTGTAATGTCTACCACAGCATAATGAAAAGCAATTTGGCAGTTAAGCAAAAGGTCAGATGACGCACGCTGAGCTATCCTATTCTACCAGCAAGGACTAGACAAGTGTTCGAAGAAAGAAGTATGGCATAGAAAAGGTCACTGAGCAGAGTGACTTCTCTGTAGGCACAATACCAAGGAAGCAAGGGCAGTAGATCAATGTCCAAAGTTGAAAGCAGCCCCGAGTTTGATACTAATAGGAGTCATCATCCGAGGAGAGTCAGTCATGAAGTAGTGAAAGAGATGACAGACAATGCCAGGGCTCACGTCACGTCAGGATATAAAGGCTGGACAGAGCAGCATAAATATTGGAAGTCAGTTTGCTGACAGGCTGCTCTGGGTTATTATCAACAGGTCCTCAGTCAGTACCTGTGCTGTGAGGAACTAGTGGTGAGGATGTGGCCTTTGAGTGTCATGGACGCAGCTCAGTGGTCTAAGCACCTGCCTAGGCAAGCACAAGGACCCCGGTTCGAAGTCTGAGCCGGCCCTGCCCAGGGCATGCCATGCTGGCCACTAAGACTGGGCATGGTGGTGCATGCCTATTATCCCAGCATTGGCAAGGCTGAAACAGGAGGATCACTACATACATGCATACATACATATATACGATGGGGCCTTTGAGTGGGAGGATGGTAGCAAATGTTATGAGAGGACTCTGAGCATTAGAAAAGCAGACTAGAGGCTTCAAGCTTGGTGGAATACTTGGGAGGGAACAAAGGTCAGCATCCCAGTGGAAAGAAGCGAGCCACATGGTAAGGAGTACTGACAGGCTACACTGGCTGAGGACAGCTTCACCCAGATCTCACGGATGCCTGCACAAGCTGGTCCTGCAGTGGCAGGATTTCTCCCCGAAACACTCCTCCCAGAAAGGCTGGGCCAACTTTCCCAGCTCTCCTGACGACAGGTTCAATCTTACATGGCAAAGCAAAGTGAAGCATTTTCTGCTAATGTTTCTAGATTTCAAAAAAGGATTAAACTTTCCTTAAACTCCTGTTTTTTTTTTTTTTTTTTTTTTTTTTTTTTTTTTTTTTTGGGCAGAACTGGGGATTGAACTCAGGCCCTTGTGCTTGCCAGGGAAGCACTTATTCCACTGAGCCATCTCCCCAGCCCCTAAAGTTGTCTTAATTCCATGTTCTCTGAGCTTTTATATAATTTAATAATCTACATTTAGATGTTAGATACATTCAGAAATTTCTATTTTCTATAAAGTATAAATATAACTATTATCTTCCAAAATTCTAATATTTGAATATAATTTAAAAATATTTATCCTTTCTGCTAAGTGATTTACATTGCCATCTTTATCATTTACTAAATTCCTTTCTTCTTCTTTTCTCTTTTTCCTTTTCTTTTGAGATAGGGTCTTGCTATCCAGTTCAGGCTGGGCTGTGGCCCAGGCTGGCCTTGAACTCATGGCGATCCTCCTGTCCCAGCCTCCCAGGTGCTGGGGTTGTAGGCATGTGCCGCCACAGCTGGCCACTGACTACAGTCCACATGTACTTGGATCTATTTCTGGGGTTGGCGTTCTGTTCCACTGGTCTCAGTTCATGCATCCACAATGAACATTTGTATTATGAAGTTTTATAGTATGATTGGTATCATATAAACCTAGTCCTACTAAGGTTTTCTTTTTAAAAAATTTTTATTGGTACATGTTTGCAGTACCTAATGTCTGCATTCCCTCTGTGGAGTTGGTATGAGGAATTACACATCTTGATTTTTTTTTTTCATCCTCTTTCCTTTCTGTTTCTTGGTTTCCTTCCCATTAGAGAAAGATCTACCTCCCTCCTTCCTATTATCTACCTTTTATTTTGATGTCTATTAATAATTTGGGTTTATCATGTAAGAGAAACTACACAATATTTAAGCTTCTGTGTCTGATGTATTCACTAAACATGGTGGGCTCAAGGTGCATTCATTTTCCTAGAAGTGATTCAACTTTATCATTCTTTATGGCACAGTATTATTCCATTGTGTGTAAATATCACTTTTTTTTTTTTTTTACCTATTCATCTGTGGAGGGATGTATCGGCCACTCCAAGATTTAGCTCCTGTGACTTGGGCTGCTATAAACATGAACATGCATATAATATCTCTAACTCTTTTGGAAAGACACCTCACAGGAAATATCTGAGTCAAATGGCATTTCTAGTTTTAGTTTCTCCACACTAATTTCCACAGTACTTGTACTAGTTTGCATTCTGACCAACCAAGTTCTTCTTTTCCGCACAGCTGTGCCAGCCTTCGTTATTATTTGATATCTTGATGATGCTTATTCTTTTTGGAAGAAGATGAAATCTCAGTGCTGTTTTAATTTTTCTTCTTCTAACGACCTGTGCTACTGGGCATTTCTTCATCTATTTACTGGCCATGTGTATTTCTTTTGTTAAATGTCTACTCATATTGCTAGCTCATTTTTTATTGTTTTATTTTGGGGATCTAATTTTTTAAGTTCTTGATATATTTTAGATTCTTGAATATTTGTTTTTCCATATGAACCTTTAGAATAGTACTTCTGTGAAGTGTCTAGCTGTATGGGTTATGCCAAGCAATTTAAATGATTTGGTAATTTTATAATTATTTTATAAGCAAGGGCCAATCAGTTGTCTGTTAAAGTTATACAGTATTTTTCAAAAGGAAGGAATTATCTGCTTTTCCTTTATGCTGGTTTATGCCGATACTTTGTTTCGTACTACCCCAACGTGACTCAGACTTGCACTTCTGCTCTCACTGTTTATTACCTTCTATTGTTTTTTAATTTTCATTTTCATATTTGGCAGAGTACAAAAGAAGTGGGAGGTGATGGTGGAAAGTTTGGAAAAGAAAAGAAGAGAAATTTAACCTAAAATGAGCTGTAGAATTTTTTTAAATTGGCCTCTTGGAAAACAGCTGGCCCTCTTTGTAATTCCGCTGGGGCAGCACTTGGATCCTGTCCCCCTGTGCTGCAGGCTCCTGTGTCTTGGGTCTGAAGTGTCTTCTTCTTTAGGGTAACTAAGAATGAGAAAAGGTAGAGGGCTTTAAATAAGGAAGAGAAAGAGAAAGCATGAAAGTAGATTCTTAGGGCTAAATCTAAACGTGGAACTTCAGGAGTGACTAGCAAAGAGGATCTTATTCCCTCCCCTCAGCATGTTTTATAGACTGACCCCAGGGTTATTAGTTGGTCCAGGCTACCTATTTCTGATTTTTCAAAATCATAAACATGCAAATGTAAGAGGCAGAAGTAACCTAGCAGAGGACAATTCAAGAAGCCTTTAGCAGAAATGCTGTCAGCTATGGAAGATGTCGCATTATCCGCCCTTTGGGAAATGGAAATACTCGTAGCAGGCTTGATTGGTCTTTACTATTTATTTTCCGCTATTTATGGGGGGGGGGGCTTATATATATAACCAGTACATATAAAGTAGAAAATGATGTTTGTTTGACCATTACTCAAATATAACCTTAACTTACTCAATTAATATAACTTCAACTTTCTGATACAACTTTTAAGTTCAAGTTTAACCTTAACTTCCTAATATTTGAAATGCTATTAGTGATTTCTGTTTTGCCAACTTTTCTACACTTCGTGGAGTAAGTGCATGAAGTGTACAAATGGAAGTGTGTACATCATCTGATTGTTATTTTTCCCTTGGCAGCATATAGGTGAAAACACTCCCAGCTTTCCTAGGCTATCCATGAGTAAGTGTGTGGGGTCTCACACACCTATAGTCTTTGCTGTTGGGAGTTGTCACATGGATCTTCAGATTATTTTGAATTCTAAAATTCCATCTGCAATGTCACACAGAAAAATGACTTAAATAAATGTGTTTTATAATATTTAGTTTGAAATAAGTTACTACATTTGACATCAGGGAACACATCTTATGGAAGAAATCAATAATTTGAATAGGTACATAATAAGTCACCTAGTTCTTTGCCCAAACTGGGTTTCTCTGCATCTCAATGATAGGTTTTGATGGTGTCACAGCAGAGAAACAGGCAGAAGGAAAAAGGGCAAGGGACTTCATTATAAAGGGAAAGGGTTTCATTATCTTGGAGGACACAGAGAGAATTTGGGAAGATAAGGAATTCTCTGGATTGGAACAAAGGGAGGCAGAGGCTTTTATGGCCTTTTGACTGGGGTGGGGTTTGAGGGGGATGTTTAGATATACCTGAGGAGCTGATTGGGACCTTCCCTGAGGCAGCGGGAAAGGTGAAAGGAAATTGCACCCTGGGCTGGGTTGGAGAAGAAGCGGGGAGGTGGTCTCTGGGAAGATGAGCTGTTGTTTTTAAGGACTTCAGCCATAATGGATGGTCACCATACTAATTCAGCAATTCATACTAGGGCCATAATCCATAGCTCAATTATTTTCTTGGAGCTAAACACCTAAATTCATGTTAATTTGCATTTCTGTTGCAATAAACTGTCATAAAAACCTGAATTTTGTCATCAGAAACAGCCAGAGACCAATTTCTTAATCTTATTGTACCCAGATTTTAGTCTCTTCCCTCAGTGAGGGCAGCAAAATATTCTTTCCATTCCATAAGAGGACCTTCATAGCCTTTTTTAGAGCAGCAAGGTGAATGTTTACTTTGTTAAAATTCTCTTGCTTAGTACATATTTGCAGTACATCATGATTATATTTATTGTGGGGACTTTGTACATGTGTATGACATTTTAATTCTTTTTTGTCTCCTTTTCTTACCATTCCTCCCTGCTATCTCCAACTCTTATTCCCCTTCCCATTTTTTATTTTTTATTTTTATGTTAGGACAGGGTCTACAGGGTCTCACTGCATAGACTGGACACATAATGATCCACCTGTTTTCAGCCTCCCCAGTGCTGGGATTATAGGCACCTGCCACCAGCCCAATCTCAATTGCTGTCTCAGCATGCCCTGGGGCCGGGGCCAGCACAGCAGGCCTGGGGATCAAACTGCCACAGCCGGCCCTTGTCTGCCTAAGCAGGCGCTTTAAACTGCTGAGCTATTTGGCTGGCCCTCCCCTCCCCATTTTGAAAAACCTCTATTTCCATATTTTTCTTCAATTTTCTCTGTTTTCAAAATCCATTTGCCCTCCCCTTCCTTCTACCTCTTGTTCTGCTTCTCATTTGGAAAACACTTCCCTACTTCCTATTTTTTATCCTTTATTTTGCCCTTTATTTTTATTTTTGATTTCTCATATACAGAACACATACAATATTTAAACTGGTGTCTCTGATTTATTTCCCGTAACATTATGGTGGCAAGATGCATCCATTCACCTACAAAAGCCTCAAGTTTATCCTTCTTTACGGCAAATAGCTTTTCATTGTGTATAAACACCATATTCTCTCTGTCACTCACCTGTTGGAGGGCATACAGGCTGTTTTCAAGATTTAGCTAGTGTGAACTATGGTGCTATAAACATGGGGATGAACATATCACTAGAATACGTTGACTTTAAGGGGGAAGATTCTTAAGGGCGAATAACTAGACCAAATGAAATTTTTATTTTTAGTTTTTTTAAGAATCACCATCCTGCTCTCCATAGTTGTCATATTAGTTTACATTCCCTTCATAGCTTTGTCATGTTTACCTACCAACATATCTGTCCATAATACTGTATGACAGTCAGTAGAATAAGAGGTATTTATTAAGACAAACATAGATTCCAAGAATCTGAGGCAGGCTTCACAGTCAGAATAGCCCAACTATCCATTAATGGGTATAAACTTTTAACCAGGATGTCTGATGGCAAAGTTCCTGATGTGGAATCTCATAAAGACTTGATTAAAAATCATTACATGCCAAGAGCAGTGGTGCTTACACCCCTATAGCCAGCTAACAATAAGCCAATGCATTTTTTAGGGTGAGTGCCTAGTACTCTCTAAAATATTAGCCTTGACTGAGAAGTAACAGGAGACTTTGACAGAGGATCTGAAACTTGCCAGTCAGACATTAGCAGGATGAGCTGACAGCCTCCAAGAGGACCTTGGAGCACCAGGGGAGTGTGATAAGCAGCCACCTGTGCAGCATGAACCAGACTCTAAGGAGGAGGCAATCAGCACCTTGAAGATGTCCAGCAAGGGACATTCTAAGAAGAGGCAGTGTTTCACCAGTAGGTGCTGGTGATAGCTCCTTCCAGAGCTGCTGCCACTGCCCAGAGCTGGAGGGCTGCTCCTGCGCAGGGCTGCCGATGCCTTCAGGGAGGGATTTCAGTATGTTCATAACTAGTAAGGCCAATTCAGAATTTGATGTTGATAGTAAAGTGGAAAGCAATGCATAGAGGATACTGTAGCTTTCTTTATGCCATTTTTACTATGCAGTTTTTAGTAAATGCGTTGCCAAAGTGAGCACAACTGTGCAGTTTTTAAAATTAGATCTTAATTTTAGGCTCTCAGAATGAAAAATACTTTGCATATTTTCAAACTCAATTATATGGTAATCAATTTGTTATCTATAGAATAGATATATGTTTCCAGATAAAATGCTGAAATGGTCAAACTGTCATTACTTCTTACTGCAATTAAAAGTAGTGTCCAGATTCTATTTTAAACTACTGTTCATAAATTTATACCCCACCCCCAGGCAGTGACCTCCCCAAAATCCTGTGGGTTTCTTATCATTGTCCTCAGCTTTCTAGTGGCTTCTCTGTATCAGAATAACTAAAGGAAATACATGTCAATATATTCATACTAATATTAAATTTCACTTATGAAAATTTAATGAAGGAACAGATTTATGAAAGTAAGCTTTGCAAAGATCTTTTTAAAAGAAATAAACATGTATAAACTCTAGTCTTAGTAAGTGTTTGGATAGGCTATCATGTCTGCATCTTCAACTATGAATAACTACTACGAAGACAGCAATATGCAGTGTATTAATTATTGTAACTGTCCTACTAACCTGATTTGAAACTGTCTCATTGCTATCTGTTTCTCAATAAAATTAAAAAAAAAAAAAAGAAGAAATGGGACTGGGATAGGTTTTGTTTTGCAGCAATGGAGACTGAATCCAGGACCTACTGAGCTATTGGATGCTAGACAAGTGCTCCCCGACTGAGCTATCACCCCAGACTTTTTCTTTTTGAGATATAGTCTTACTAAATTGCCCACCCTGGCCTCAAACCTGGGATCCTCTTAACTCAGCTTCCAGAATACCTGGGATTACAGGCAAATCCACTATGTCTAGTGAGCTAGTGAGGATATAATTTATTTCTTTGTATTGATTAATCATTTCCAGATAGTAACAGTGGCTTTTGTGATTTGAGAAGCAATATTCAATTTGAACTAATAATACTAACTAGTTTAAATATAATAAATTTCTTAATATGGCACCATTAATTTTGCAGATTTAGCTCCTAAACTCTTATGATTAGATTTGTGCATTAATTTGATATTTTTACCTAGTTGTACTTATATATTAGTCTTAATGCTTTAGGCATTGTTTATTCACTTTAGCCTCGGTGGGATATTTACAATGCTATATATTGACTGTGATGAGAAAGTTTCTATAGCTTTAAAAAATTAATACACCACAAGTTATTTTTCAAACTAAATTTATTTTCAAAAATTGTTATATTATTTTACTGTGTGCATTATATTTTAAAAATTTGAATACCTTTTTTAGTGTAGTAAGTACAGTCAACCAAAATTCTTACAGAAGCTGACAGAATATGGCCTCAGTCAGGAGTGGAAGATTTACAAGGCCTCCTGTGTTGTGCTTATCCAAGCAATAAGTTACTTTTTAAAGCAAAAATCATACTCTAAAATTGCGTTAGCTTTTTCTGAAGTGAAGGTGTTGAATGTATAATACTTGGAACACTATTTTGCTTTTTATCAGGTACAAGTCTTTTCCACTGGATTGTGGAAAACAATAGTATTTCCCACATCACAAGTTAAGAGGTTAGACTTATTATCTTTTTTCATCTCTTCCACATTGAGTACAGTTTTAATTTGTTCCCAGTAACATTTCTTCCAACCTATAACTTAATTTCATTGGCCTCTTAACCTAGAAGTCTTTTTGAAAGTAATCTTACAATATCTGAAAAATAGTTATGAAATTTTAATTTAATGCTATCAAATTTTAATTTAATGCTTGATGTTATTTCCTTGAAAGTTGCTTCTGATGATAAATAAGTCACTTTAAGTTCTTTTATAGAATGCAGCTATCAATTTCTCATTAAGTGCTCCTCTTCCCTGTAATTTCCTAAGTCAAGTGAATAACAAGTGTTTCCCATTTTAGTCTCTCTTGAGAAATATGCTAAGAATATGACACATACACAAATAGGCTAGTATGTGAAGAAAGTAACAAGGAAGAAATTAAATGAAAATTAAGTGCCTTTGGGATTTAAAACTCTTAGGAAGTCTTGAAATCTAGGTTAAAAACATCAAACAAAGAAAGACTCAGATTCCTACTCATCTCAGGTGATATAACTACCTCTTGATTTGTGCTATATATGGTTAGCAAATTCTGACATAGAAAGCCATTTATTTTGAGTTGTTTTGATTTGCATTAACTCTTGTCAGCTTTTGTAGCTTTATAGGTCTTTTTTTAAGTCTGAGGAAAGTCATGAACTCTATTCTCAGGAGGGAAGTGCACTTGAGCAGAGTCATACGAATTTGCATGCAGATCGGTACATTTATAGACTCACCGAAGCCTGTGCATTACTGCATAGGGTTTCACATCTGTCAAGACTTTAATGTTACAAATAAGAAAAAAAAAAAAACCAATACATGTCATCTTAAGGCAAAGGCAGCCAGCCCCTTGTGCCTAGGAAGTAATAAACTTAGTTCTTGACTCTAGGAAAAACTGGACCTGGAAATCCACTAGCCCCAGGCCAGGCCCTTCCTGCTATACACTTCTGCTTGTCTTCACTTTTCTTGGCCTAGTAATCTCATTTTCTCTTACAACAGTTCTTTTCTCACATGGTGAAGAGAACATACATGCTAGAAGATTCCATTTTGCAATACCAGGAGAAAGTTTTCCTGAGCATCTTTGTATCAAATAGAGATGGATTCTATCTCTGCATAGGTCACTTGGTATCACAGTTGCTCTCATTAAAATATGAGTTACATTTCTTGCTCTGTGGCAAAAGGTAAAGGAGGAAGAGTCTGTAACCAAAAGAAAGAAGATGGAACAACTTCAACACTATAACTCGTATCTATCATCTTCTCAGATAGCAAAGATAATAGCAAGGAATTACCTTTCCCAACCTTTACCTGAGAAGTGTTTCAAGTTCTAACCAAACACAAATGAGTGGAAGGCAAAGGAAGAAGTTGACAAATAATGGATAAACTGAGACTGTGTGAAGGAGAAATTCGCTGAACGTTAGTTTTTTTTTGTTCACCCAAGTGTTCAGCATAGGAGTTTATGTCATTGGTGAGGAGCACCTATAAGATATCCCCTGGGCATGGGCTGGGGAGATAGCTTTGTGGTCTAAGCGCCTGCCTGGCAAGCACAAGGATGCAGGTTTGATCCTCAGTACCACACGCTATGTCAGCCTGAAACACCAGGACATGCTGCTGGCCATCAAAACCAGGCATGGTGGCTGTTATGCTTTGTGCCTACTTGTCCCTCTAAAGCCTCATGTAAGTCATGGGGCAGATGCAGCTGGAGGAGCAGCAAGTGGCTTGCAGGGCAGGACCAGAGGACCAAGGTGGGGCTTGAGGGGAGGGTGAGAACCGTTAAACTGGCAGCGTGCACTCTCTACCTCCCACCCCCGCCCCCAGGCCTGCAGCCTCTCTTAGAGGTATGGAGCCCATCATGCTGGACACGGCAGAACCCCAGCCTCTCCTCTGGACCCTGTAGCGTGGGGTGGCAGTGTCTGTGACCGAGGCCGCCTCTGGCAGAGAGGAGATGTTTGGAGAAGACAGAGGCACTGACCCTCTTTCCTGAGTAAATAAGGCTCCAAGGTCTTGTATGTAATTCAAGCTGTTTTGAACTATGAAACCTCCAGTAACTATGAGCTAAATAAACCTTTCCTTTCCTCATTTTGAGTGTCGGGTATTTGTCTCAGCAACGAGAGAAGAGTAGTTAAGAGCGATGCACGTTTGCAGTCCCAGCACTGGGAAGGCTGAGACAGGAGGATCACTGAGTCTAAGCTGTATAGCAAGACCCTTTACCAAATAAATAAATAAATAAATAAATAGATTAATTAATTTTTAAAAAATTAAAGAAATCAGAGG